GCAGGGACAGCTGGACGCTGGCTCTGAACTGATACTAATTCCAGGAGATCCAGAACATCTCTGTGGCCATCCGTTGGAGAAGGGGCTTGTGGAGGTCAGGTAATGAATAGAGTTTTAGCTCAGGTCCCACTCACAGTGGGCCCAGCGGGCTCTCAAACCCATCCTGTGGTGTTTTCCCCAGTTCTGGGTACATAATTGGAACAGATACAATCAGCAGCGGGCAGAGTCCCCATGTTCTTCTCTGACCTGTGGAGTGATGACTATTATGGTGGGAAAGGCCAAATAGAAGCCACTAGAACTGCCTCTACCCAGGAAAATAGAAACCAAAAGCAATACTGCCTTCCTGGAGAGATTGCAGAGATAAATGCCACCATCGAGGACTTGAAAGATGCGAAGTTAGTGATTCCTACCACATCCCCATTCAACTGGTACAGCTGCTGTACCGGATGTGGTTTCATTGCTTGAGCAATTCACACCCCCTGGCACCTGGTATGCAGCTGTTGATCTGACAAATGTTTTTTTCTCCATACCTGTCAGTGAGGACCACCAAAGGCAGTTTTCTTTCAGCTGGCAAGGCCAGCAGTGCACCTCACTGTCCTCTACTTCAGAGGTCTATCAGCTCTCCTGCCGTACGTTGTAATTTAATTTACAGGGATCTTGATCGTCATCCTCTTCTACCTGATATCAAACTGGTCCAGGAGAGCCAATGATATAGTTCCAGTTACTACTGATACTTACTGATGGTGAATGTCAACACTGCTAAATACGAGTGTTTATCTCAGTTATTCCTCACAGCAACCCCTGGAGGAATGGAGGTTGAATTCAGGGCTATGTCGTGTGCTTACACATGCCTTGAAGCACTACTCACATGATCTGCAGTATGAATGGCTTCTCATTCAGATGTGCAGTGCTGTAGCCCTAGTTATGATTACCATTTACAGAAAAGGAAACCAAGGCATGAACAAATGAAGTAACTTGCCTGTGGATACACAGCTAGGAAGAAGAGCTTAAATTTGAACCCAGGCAGCCTAAGATTGGCTCTAGTAATCTCTACAGTAAAGCTGCAGCCTTCTCCTTTCAGGTCATATAAATTCAAATATGTGTCCTCCACAGGAAGTAGGTGAAGGGTGTGAGGGGAATCATTTTAAAAAGTACAGAATGATTGAGAGATGGAAAATTTTAATTGTTGTTGGCCTCACTCTGTCTCAGTTTCTGGGTATTTTTCAGAATTGACCCATCTTACTATACTGAGTATGAATGATAAACAATTACATTTTTCATGTCATCTGACCCTAAATGCTTGTCAGCTTCTTTATCTGGTATTCAAGGAGATAAACAGGGGCGCCTGGGTGGCTCAGTTGGTTGGGCAACTGCCTTCAGCTCAGGTCATGATCCTGGAGTCCCGGGGATCGAGTCCTGCATCAGGCTCCCTGCTCGGTGGGGAGTCTGCTTCTCCCTCTGACCCTCCCCCCTCTCATGCTCTCTCTCTATCTCATTCTGTCTCTCAAATAAATAAAATCTTTAAAAAAAAAAAAAAAGAAGAAGATGATTAAACTAATCTCTTCCACCACTGGAGGAAGACCAGCTGTGTTGGACTTATTTTTTTTTAAAGATTTTATTTATTTGACAGAGAAAGAGAGAGCACAAGCAGGGGGAGCAGCAGAGAGAGAGGAAGAAGCAGGCTCCCCACTGAGCAGGGAGCCCAACGTGGGGCTCAATCCCAGTACCCTGGGATCATGACCTGAGCCGAAGGCAGACACAACTGACTGAGCCAGCCAGGCGTCCCTGGGTTGGACTTTTTAAGAGACAGTAGGTCAATCTCTGATAAGGTACTTTCCTAAGGCATTTTCTAGGGTAATTTAAAACTATGCCCAATTTTTATCCACCATGCTGACTTTATTTTTTTTTCCTCAAAGATTGATTTATTCAAGAAAGGGAGAGAAAGCAAGTATGTGTGAGTGGGAGGAGGGGCAGAGGAGAGGGAGAGAAGCAGACTCCCCGCTGAACTCAGGGCCCGACGCAGAGCTCGATCTCATGACCTATGAGATCACGACCTGAGTTGAAACCAAGAGTCAGACACTGCACCGACTGAGCCCGCAGGGCCGCACCATGCTGACTTTAGAAACCAAGTGGATTAGCCCTGACATCACAGCACTGAGTCTTCATTAGAAGCACATTAGGAACATGGCAGCGGTAGTAGCAGCATAGTTAAGGAAAGGAAATCTGAGTTAAGGGTTTTATAAGCAACAAAACTGACTTACGAGTATAAGGGTACAAACTTACCAATATGCAAGAATTCAGGACACACTTTTCCCGTGGTCCCTTTCTGAGAAATCTACTAGAAAACAGGATGTTAGACAGCTAAAACATGAAGCATTGACATAAGGAGTAGGGGAGAGCATGAAATATGTGGCTACCTGTAGAACAAGGTAGTAAGAGGGAAGAATACAGTATGTAACAACTATAAGCTCGGCAGTATAGAGTACAGCCATTTGAAAAACGGGGGAAGAACAGGAAAAGCGTATGCAAAAAAGTTTTAAAGTTTTTAGTGATCATGTTGTGGCAGAACTCGTATTGTTATTCGGAGACTTTTGTATGTGTACTAGGGAGTAAAGTAGATAAGTAGTTATGAGATATTCTAATTGTAGTATCTTTCCTGTCGCTGAGAACCAAGATTCTTGGTATAGAAGACAAGAGTGATAGAGAACAAGCCGTCATCTTAATTTATTTATTTATTTATTTATTTTTAAAAGATTTTATTTATTTAATTGACAGAGAGAGGGGGACAGCATGAGGGGAAACACAAGCAGGGGGAGTGGGAGAGGGAGAAGCAGACTTCCCGCTGAGCAGGGAGCCTGATGCGGGGCTCGATCCCAGGACCGGGGATCATGACCTGAGCCGAAGGCAGACGCTTAACCAACTGAGCCACCCAGGCGCCCCATCATCTTGAATTTATACTGGAAGTATCAATTGTCAAGGACTGCAAATGGTCTGAGATTTTACCCTGCCTACAAGCTAACAAGTTAGCGTGCCACAGTTTCATGCGTCAGAGATGGAGAACAGTTTATTCCTCATAGAAACAGTAACCAGAATATCAACATTTTTGTGCTGGGTCCATGAGCCCTAGGTCCTACAAGGCAACTCAAAGGCCAAATGATATCTGCCTATGCAGTAGGTTTCATTATATGAGAGGAACTCTGAGCTTAGGGATCTTGAATTTTTATTTTTTAAGATTTATTTTAAAGAAAGCACATGAGTAGGGGAGGGGCAAAAAAATTGAACTGTTATTTCTCTCTGAAAGGAACCAAGACTTCTTGGAGAGATCACTGATTTCAGGTCTGGGGCAAGAAAAGTTCAGGATAATCCTGGAATATTTTGTTATACCATCGTAAGAGGCGTGTCAAAAAGAACTCAGAAATTAACTTGAAGAGGCGCCTGCTGGCCAAAGATGGATAAGTTGAGCTTCAATCATAATAATTGCAATTGGTTTAAACATGGGCTAGATGTATTCAAATCCTTGAATTTATAATGATATTTTAAAAATAATTAGTCATCTTCAGATGAATAAATAACCCTAATTCATTATATTGTAAAATGCATATATTGGTAAAACAGGTAAAGGAACAGAATCAAACATTTATTCTGCCTTTCCTGTGTAACTCTAGCACAGGGTAATCAACTAGTAGACAAGGGGAAATGTCTCTTTATAAATGTATTTTAGCTAATAATACGTGACAAAGAAATTACAGAATTAGACTATTACTGTTTTATAACCCATGATACATTAAACATCAAAGACTGCCAAGACCATAAAAGGAAAGAAAACAGTCATTATGTGCCTCCTGTAGTCTTGCCAAGGAGCTCAAGCTGGTGTCTGATCTGGTCTCTGGATCCATCTGCCAAATCGTAGCTGGTACAGAGGGCAGAAGAACAGGTTCAATTAATTGCACCAAGAGTATGCAGTCAGCAAATTCATACTGTGGGAAATTTTACAGGTCAACAACCAGGTTCCTCAAGAGATAATTTGTAGGCAACAAAAGAAATGGGTGATGAACGTATAGATTAAGAGATTTAAAAGACATCAGACTTTAGGGGGCACCGGGCTGACTCATTTGGAAGCTCATGTGACTCTTGATATTGGGGTCATGAGTTTGAGCCCCACACTGGATGTAGATATTACTTAAAATAAATAAGTAAATAAACTTAAAAAAAGAGGGCATCAAACTTTTTTAAATGGACAAGACTAAACTGTAGCACATTTAGGGAATAAAATTATAACAAAGAAATAAAAGCATAGTTAACTTGTTTGAAAGGGAGAGGATTGTAACCTGGAAGGGGCATATGGGAGAGCTTTTGGGTGACTGGCAAAGTTCTTTTTCTTGATTTTGTGGTCATTAAACCATTTGATTCATGTGGGGTTTTTTTATGTCTGTATGTTATTTTATAATAAAACATTTTTAAAAAAATATGTCCAATAAGAAGAGACTAGTCTAGGCATTAAGATTTTTGGGGGCTTATCTTCACACTCCACAGATAAGCAAGAGCTAAATTTCAATAGATTCTTGAAAACTTGGGAGGACTTACAGAGTTATCCATCATTATTAAATTGTTACATTATTGAGCATTCTTTTATATAGGCACCATATTAGCCTAAGATTACAGAGGACAATTCAATGCAGAAACTGTCCCAGTATTTTTCTTCTAGTAGTTTTTTTATAAAAAAAAAAAAATTGTTTACAGAAAATTTAGGAACAAAAAAAGTATACAAAATAAAACAAAAAATACACTGTTATTCTCTTCCCCAGAGATAAGCATAAATAATATTTTGGTATATTTCCTTTTACATATGAATACATTGACATTGGGAAAATACAGTTTTGTACCTACTTTATGTTCTCATCTTTGGCTCTATATTGCATTCAGGCCTGAGATTAAAGGTATTTAAAATCCAGATCCCTTTCAAATTAATTCATTAACATTTTAGGATTTTATCTTCCTAGGTGGGCTGCATCATGCAGCTGCCCGAATTTCTGGTGACAGTGTCTATAAGCATCTGAAATATGAAGGTGGGATTCACCGAGTTCAGCGAATCCCTGAGGTGGGCCTGTCGTCAAGGATGCAGCGCATTCACACAGGAACCATGTCCGTTATTGTCCTCCCTCAACCAGATGAGGTAACCTCACCCAGAGGCATTGAAAACTTACTCTGACTTAATGGAGGTTGTGCTGAGAAAGCTTAGCTTCTAGCAAACTGATTTTCGGGGTTCCCCATTGAACTTTGCAGTCTCTACTAGGAAATTCTTTTTTTTTTTTTTTTTTTTTCAAAAAAGGAAACATCAAATTTAATTTAAAGGAAAAAAATCAGAAATTGAGAAAACAACAGAACAAATCAATTCCTGAAAAAAAGAGTTCGCATCTTGGCGATCACATTTATTGAAAGGGTTGGAAAAAAATTAAAATGCCCTTTAGCTTAAGAATTTTTGAGTTATCTGCAAATCAACTCATTTCATGAGTGGAAGAATCCTTGGTTGTTTCTTAATACCAAAATTTATGCAGGTTTCTCTTTTGTGAACGTCTTCTACATTTAAAGAGGCAATCATACAAAACCTCCTATATTCCATACATGATAAATTCTTTGTTTCAGCCAACTCTTAATGGAGGGGCAACTAGTACAACACCATCTCCCCGGACAAAAAGCATTGGAATATTCCGTTTTGTTGATTTATATATCTCTTCGTATGTTTCCTCATCAATTTCTATAGTAGTCACAGTTTCTTCCACATCTCCCAATATCATATTTCAGTGCTGATCATAAGCATGTAATCTGCCTCGAAGCTCTCTGTCATTTCTCATTTTCACATAAATTCGCTCATCCAGGCTGAGCCTGATGAGATCCAGGGGCTCTTCTACAGTGTTGGTAGTTTGTTCCTGGTCCACGTTGTCCGCCATATTTCACACCCTGCACCCTTGCCCCTCTACTAAGAAATTCTTAACTCTTCTGCAGGTAAAGTTGCCCTTCTTATGCCTGACCAAGATATTTTGTTTTGTTTGTTTAAATAGAAATCTATTCTCTTTATAAAATAGAATTCACAAAGCTTTGGGGCGCCTGGGTGGCTCAGATGGTTAAGCGTCTGCCTTCGGCTCAGGTCATGATCCCAGGGTCCTGGGATTGAGTTCTGCATCGGGCTCCCTGCTCCTTGGGAGTCTGCTTCTCCCTCTGTTTCTCTCTCTCTCCCTCTCTCTCCCTCTCTCATGAATAAATAAATAAAATCTTAAAAAAAAAAAAAGAATTCACAAAGCTTTTAAAATGATCTTGCTTAAGTTTTATCTTAAGAAAAATATGATTTCCACAGATAATATGTTGAGGTCAGTGATAGAATATCTGTATGGGGTCTGTATCTTATTGAATACAGCCATATTGCCTATATTTTTTTTCTTAACTTTTTAAAATTTTATTTTAAACATACAGAAAATAGAATGCCACACTAAAAACTTACATAACCTTCACCTGGAGTCAACACCTGTTTACATTTTGCCACATTTGCTGGATTCCTATATGTGTGTGTGTATATATACATTTGTTTAAATAACTAAAGACTATAGCAGACACTGTGAGACTTTATCCCTCAAATCTTCAACTTCACATCTCCTAAGAATAGGACATTCTTCTACCTAAACAATACCATTATCTGTCCATTGACTGATGAACAGGTAAAGAAGTCGTGGTGTATATACACAATGGAATATTACTCAGCCATCAAAAAGAATGAAATCTTGCCATTTGCAACGACGTAGATGGAGCTAGAGAGTATTATGCTAAGTGAAAGAAGTCAGTCAGAGAAAGACAAATACCATATGACTTCATTCATATGTAGAGTTTAAGAAACAACACATGAACATAGCGAGAAAGAGAGAAAGAGGCAAACCATAAAAGAGACTATTAACTACAGAGAACAAACTGAGGGTTGCTGGAGAGGAGGTAGATGGGGAGTGGGCTAAGTGGGTGATGAGCATTAAGGAGGGCACTTGTATGATGAGCAGTGGGTGTTGTATGTGATGAGTCACAAAATTCTACTGAAACTAATACTACCCTATATCTTAACTGGAACTTAAATAAAAACTTAAAAAAATAAATAAGTAAAATGGGTATAATACCTCCAACGCCATAATTTTTCTTTTTTTTTTTTTTAGGGGGTGGGTAAGAGCAGAGGGAGAGGGAGAGAGAGAGAGAATCTTAAGCAGACTCTATGCCCAGTGCAGAACCCAGTGCGAGGCTTGATCTCACAATGCTGAGATCATGACCTGAGCTGAAATCAAGAGTTGGACACTTAACCAACTGAGCCACCCAAGTGCCCCAACCCCATAATTTTTCTATAGGATTTAAGTGAGACACTAAGGGTTATGTGCTTATCCCCAGGAACCAATAGGTTGGAGACCTTTGTTATAATATCAATAATAAGATTGAAAAATTATTTGGAAAAAAACAACCATTATCTGTGAAAATCAACCATAAGTCTGTAATATTGTTGTCTAGGAAAAACTCCTGTGCTTCTGTCTACTCAAAGAATACTTCTCCACTCTAAATGTATCAAGTTTTTTTCTCTCACCAAGCAATTTCTTCAGTTCTGTGTGGACACCAAGTAGGTGTCCTACAATTCAACTCAATTCTGACACCATCTACTGGGGAATAGCATCAGACCCCACAGGCTAAGAGCTCAGCCTTACAAGACTTCCTCCCCTCCCACCCTCAGAGCCAGTCACAAGTCCAGGTTCTCACCTGTGTTTCCGACCAAGTGGCTATGAATTGAGAGGTTTCCACAACCCCCTCCTTGGGATCAATAATTTACTAAAGCCGGATTATAGAACTCAGACTGCCCCCTGAGCAAGGAGCCTGATGCAGGGCTCGCTCCCATGACCCTGAGATCATGACCTGAGCCAAAATCAGGAGTTGGATCCTCAACCGGCAGAGCCACCCAGGTGCCCCCAACCTTTTTTTTAAAAATGACAATTATTTGAAGAGTCTGGAGCCTTTGTCTTTTAAGGTGATCCCACATTCTGGATTCATTTGTTTCCTCCTGGTACTCTTTAACTTGTTCCTTTATTGCATTCAGGTCACACATTTTGAGCAAGAATACTTTATAGGTGTAGTCATATTCAAGTTGCATCTTATCAGAAGGCACATAATATCAGATTTAGTGAAGATTAGTTTAAACATGGTGACCAAAAAACTATCTCCATTGTAAAAGTATATTTTTGTCTTTGTAGTTACTGTGTAATGTCTAGGGTATATATAGCCTGTTTCCACATACAACCTGTTTCCATGATCTAAACATCCATTAGTGATCTTTTTTTGCCTGAATCAGTTATTTCGTTGGGGGTGGAAGGTGGTGATTTTGTAATTCTGTCATTTCTTCTCTGTTTATTAACTGGCATTCTTTTCTGTCAAGAACTTTCCTCCCTACTACCTTCTCTCCTCCTTCCTTCTTGCTTGCTTTCTCTTTTATTTTACCTCATCATAAACTCAATATTGTTCCATCTGTTGACCTCATTATAGACTTACACATTTGTTTTTTAAATTCTGTGAGTTAGAATCACTACTGTTTTTGATGTTCAACCTTGTCCCTGATTTGGCCAGTTGTAGCCTTTTGAGGGCAATCCCTTTTGCAATGACCCCATCAATTTTTGAGCACATCCTTGCTTTCTGGTATAATTAGATATCCTAAGCCCACCTTCTGCTTTTCTGCCTCAGACTTGGAGTCAGATCTCATTTCTTTTGGTGAGAAATGTACCCAGAAATCAAGATCTAGGTCCTACGTGTGCTCATTATTACTAAAGTGTGCTTATATTTAGATTCTTCGGTGGACAGAGCTAGGAGATACATATCATTTTAAATCACGGGTTCAAATTATTATTACCAACTCAAATTTAACATTACAGGGAGTTTTTCCCCCCTCACCATCTTGCATTTTGTATTTATATCTCTTTCCACTTAGAGTAAAAATTTTATTTCTTAATCACATTAATATATTTACTTTTTCCCTTATTATATAGCATATATAAAAACTGTTTTAAAATTACTTAGTAAAAAAATAATAAAATTACTTCGTAAACTACTGAGTAATGTTTAAGATTGATTTCTGTCCTTAGAATATAGTCCACCAAGAAAGCACAGTCAGAACACGAAGGTCAAAGACCATCTGAAACAGTGTTTTTCTATGTGATTATGATATTATGGTAAATATTTTGATTCATAGGTTTCTTTTCCTATTGAATATTAGGATTTGAATTTTCCTTCCTCTTTTATCTAATGTCGTTTCTGGTGTATGGAAGCATTTATGTCATTTAGAGATCAAAGCTGTTGAGTTGTCTCGCTTCCCTCCTTGTTCCTTCCACTGTTCTCACCCATCCCCTTAGTCTCTTCATGCTCTTGAACATTAAGCCCGTGTGGTCAAGTTTGATTTTCACAAAAGAGCAAAGTCTTATTATTCTCTTAATTGACATTTAAAATTCTTTGTATATAATAATCACTGTTTCTTTGTTGAGAATTTCCCAACAGTCATTAGATAGTTTCTATAACATTTGGGAGAATATGACATAATGTACACGTATTTGCTATATAACTTTAATATACTGTAAAATGGGAAATTTCTCCTGATCTCTTTAGTGTCTATAGAAATTTTAAGGTAGCCGACACTAGCATATTTTAACAAAAACTGCACAATCTTTTTCTTCACAGTATAGTGCTCATTTTAGAGGAAACAAAAGAATAACCACGTTGTATATTGGATTCTAAAGCTGACACTGTTATTACTGTACTTTACAAAGAGAAGAGTCACACTTGCTATCTGTCATTCATAGGAATGAATGATAAATGTGAAATAATCTGTTAGTTCTCCCCTGAAAAACAGTGTATTTTGTAACTGTGTGTGTGTGTGTAACAAATTACCATAAACATAGGGGCTTAAAACAGTAAAAATTTATTGTCTCACAGTTCTAGAGGCCAGGAGTCCAAACTCAAGGTATCGCCAGGGCTGGGCTCCCTCAAAGCTTCTGGAGGGGAATGCTCCCTTGACTCTCCCAGTTTCTGGTGTCTCCAGGTGTCCGTTGGCTTGAAGCTGTATTACTCTGAATGCACATTTTCATCTCCTCTTATCTCTCCTCTGGCTGTCTAAGGACACTTCTCATTGGATTTAGGGCCTATGTGAATAATCCAGGATGATCTCATCTGAACTCAATTACAGCTGTAACAACTCTTTTTCCAAATAATGTTCTAGTGGTTAGAACGTGAACGTATCTTTTTGGATGCCTCCATTCAGTCCACTAATTAGTGTGCATGCACACACAGTCGGTTCTCATTGTTCACAGTGGTTATGTTCTGTAAAGACTCAGCGAACACTGATTTAGCAAATACTGAACTATCATTTCCCCTAGGGGAAATATGTGTGTGTGTACACACTCACGTATACATGTGTTTATATACCTATATATATTTCTGTATCTATGTATCTCAGGTAGATTATAATCTTAAAAGTGACCTATCCAAATAAATAAATAAAATTTAAAAACCGAAAAACGTAACCCATCCTAGTTACTTAGAATAGATTCTCTTTTCTTTATTTTACAAAGAGAAAATGAGGTTCGTAAGTGTTTAGGTGACTTACCTGAGGCCACTTCACTATCAGATGCCAGAATTGGGGTTCACACCCAATCCAGCTGACCCAAGAGCCAGAGCTTCTTGTACTATACTGCTGTGCCCCCTCTTGTCTTCATTCTCTGGTCAGACTGAAAAAAGAAAGCAAACTGTCACCTTTTGGATGTCAGCTGGGAATGTGCACCTTGGATTTTTTGCTGCCCTGCACCTGTTCACTAGTGATTGTGAAAATGCCGCAATAATTGATTTTGGGGAACAAATAAAGTAGGTGAATTTGCAAATACAGAATCGGGGAATAATGTATACATTATACACACACACACACACACACACACATACACACATTCATATATATAAAGAGAGAGTATATTTTCTATCCTGTGGTTTTGTGGGATGATGGATGATGAAACTTGAAAGATTGCATAACTCAGTGATCTTATAGCATCAAAAAATAGCGTCCATTGGAATAGGGAGTTTACGGTTCTTTCATTGGTAGAAGCTATTGGTTAGTCTAATGGCTATGACTTTGAACAAAACAGCACAGTTTATTTGAAAAATCTTGAAATAAATATAGTATTGAAGTATTTGTTGGGACGCCTGGGTGGCTCAGTCGGTTAAGCGTCTGCCTTCGGCTCAGGTCATGATCCCAGGGTCCTGGGATCGCATCCCACATTGCTCCCTGCTCAGTGGGGAGCCTGCTTCTCCCTCTGCCTGCCACTCCCCCTGCTTGTGCTCTCTCTCGCTCTCTCTCACAAATAAATTTTAAAAATCTTTTTTTAAAAAAAAGTGTTTGTTGAATGTACAATTGACTTCCATTGTCCCTTTTGTTCTAGGTAGATGTGAAGGTGGACCCCAAGGATTTGCGAATAGATACATTTCGAGCCAAAGGAGCAGGAGGGCAGCATGTTAATACAACCGATAGCGCTGTCAGACTTGTCCACATCCCCACAGGTAATCAAGTCTGTTTGCTTTTGTACTTTGGACCTGTTTTTACGTCTTATGAAACTATTCAACATCGAGGGCGCCTGGGTGGCTCAGTTGGTTAAGCGTCTGCCTTCGGCTCAGGTCATGATCCCAGAGTCCTGGGATCGAGCCCCGCATCGGGCTCCCTGCTCAGCGGGAGGCCTGCTTCTCCCTCTCCCACTCCCCCTGCTTGTGTTCCCTCTCTCGCTGTGTCTCTCTCTGTCAAATAAATAAAATCTTAAAAAAAAAAACACTATTCAACATTGAGAAGAAAATAGTTTTATGTTAGTGTCTCGTTTCTTGCACAAACCCTTTAAAAGGTGACACTGGAGTCGTGGGTCTGCGGTCCCCAATGTGTTCATATTCCACTTCTGTTTGGAAAAGGCACCTCTCTTAAAGGATGCAGACACTGAGTGGACCTATTCAGAGAAGCTGCCCAGGTATACTGGACAGCAGTGCAGTGAGCAACCAGAGGTTCCCCAGCCTAAAAACAAACACGAAAACAGTCCTGGAGATGCCCTTGCAATGGAGCTTCTGTCCTCTTACAGACTGACCACTAGATCCACTGTTCCATGTTGCATTAATGCTGTTATTTTGAATATTGGTAATTTTGGTATACTCTGAGGTAGTTTTGCAGCCCTTACTGTGATTTTAAATACTTCTATCATTCTTCAGATTTTATTTATTCTTTTAAATTTTATTTATTTATTTATTTGAGAGAGATAGAGAGAGCAAGAGCAAGGAGGAGAGGCAGAGGGAGAGAAAGAAGCAGACTCCCTGCTGAGCAGGGAGCCCGACATGGGGCTCGATCCCAGGACCCTGGGATCACGACCCAAGCTGAAGGCAGATGCTTAACCGACTGAGCCACCCAGGCGCCCCGATTTTTCAGATTTTAAACTAAATTTTAAGCTTTTAAAATTTTTCCCTTTTAAAATTATTTTTTATGCTATTAAATATTAAATGGTTTTAAAGGCCAGTGGGAAAGTCCTGTAACAAAAACCAGCAACTCCTTGCCCCTCTCTTTCCTCCCTCTCCCTCCTTCCCTGACCCTAAAGCCCTGCTACCCACAGGCAGCCAGTTTAAACTCTTAGCTATTTTTTCTGGTAATTACCTCATATTGGGCAGATCGTGCTCTTCTGATCAATTAGTTATAAGATTACATACATACTGACTTCTTAATGTGGTAGATGAAGATTAGGCTCTCATAATATCCTTTTTCACCAAAAATGAGGTGATAATTTTTGTAACTTACCATAATTTACCTAAGAAATCCACAAATTTTTGGATACTTAGTGTGTTTTACCTAACACACTCTTGTATTGCGGGATACTGTTCTCTGTTATAAACTGTCCAGAATAGTAATAATGAGCTGAAGCTGAATTAAAAACTAAAATGAGAAAAAGTCAGGTAAAAGTGATAAAAATTCTGACAAAAATGAACCCAAATATTTTAAAACATAAACCCTTGTGCAGCCATAAATTACTGACTTTACAAAAAATGACCGATGCTTTTGTTGTCAAGCTTACCTTGTGCCAAATTAGTTTTTAGCCATATAGATCTAGTTCTTTGATTTAAAAGCCTTAGGACTTACCCTCAAACCTTTCCTTAGGCAATGCATTACAAGGCCTACTGACTTTTATGAATCCATGTTATTATGAGCAAGTGATTTCTTGAGTCAACTGTGTACTTTGAGGTTTACCGTGATTTCAGCATCTATTGCAAAGAAAACTCAGCCTTTCTTCTAATCTGTCCATTCCACGACCCTTAGAATGGGAACTGTGTCCCTGCTAGACTTGAAAGTGAGAACTATAGGTCATTCTTCCATTACCCTCTTGCACATGGATTCTGAAGACTCACATTTTTTTCTACCCACTGCTTCTATAGAACTCCATTTTTCAACCATTGGAAGAGTGGTACCACAGGGGTATGGTTAAATGTTTGTTCAGGGAAAAGTTACTTTTTTTTGTAAAATTTATCAAATCAAGATGAAGACATTAATATTTTGTGCTTTAAAGCAAGCTTTTTAGTTTCTTACGAGTTAGTTAAAGTGGGCCTCTGTAATTCTTACACTGTCTTACTTCATCATCATAGACTATGGATAATACCTAATTCTTCCAAATCAGATTTAATTTTTTACTTCATTTTGTACTTTTAAGATTACAGGATTTTTATTAAACCTATGATTAGGTATAATTTATTTCATCTAGTCTAAGAACTCATTAACTGAAAGACACATCACTATTTTGTTACTATGAAGAAATATAAAAAACACTACCAATTAAGCTATCATATGCCAGTGAGGGTAGGATGCCTCTCAAGTTCAGAGATGTTCATTTTTTTAAATGGGCTATTTAGAATAAAATATGTATATTTGTTTTCATTTATAATTGATAATCTTTTAAATAGTAAATGTAGTTATTTAGCAAATATATATTAAATACCCACTTGGTCCAGTTGCTTATCTGGAATTTTGGAATCTCCCATAGAGCATTGAAACAACACTGAGAAAAGTTTGTTTTTTTTTTAAAGCTCTTTTAGAGTTTTTTTAACAACCCTAGCATCTTATTTCAACAGCTCTTCTATTATTCAGATTACTTCCCTCTACCCTAATCCTCTATTCCTAAGGGAATACTTATGATTAAATACTCCTCTATAGAAAGTATATTAAAATATATGATTAAGTGATTCTCTTGGGAATTACTGAGCTGGTAAGTAAGAGTTTTAAGCTAAAAATTCTGACCTGAGCCACTGGATAGGAATAGTGCCAATGTATAAGCCAAGCTTACTGCCAGTCAGCTGAGAAGAGGAATTTGGAGGAAAGCTTATGAATGTCTAGCCATCTTGAAATGAGTATTTTCATATCCTTTTGGATGGTGAAAAGAGAATAGCAGATCCAAGACAGCTCCAGGCAAATGCCTGAAGATGAAAGCAAGTTGGTGCCCCAGCCCACGTGGCTGCAATAAAGCAGTCAAGAATAAATTAATGGGGCGCCTGGGTGGCTCAGCCATTAAGCATCTGCCTTCAGCTCAGGTCATGATCCCGGGGTCCTGGGATCGAGCCCCGCATCTGGCTCCCTGCTCAGTGGGAAGCCTGCTTCTCCCTCTCCCACTCCCCCTGCTTGTGTTCCCTCTCTCGCTGTGTCTCTGTCAAATAAATAAATAAAATCTTTAAAAAAAAAAGAATAAACTAATAGACTGATGAATCACAGATGTGTACTCCTGAAACAAATAATACATTATATATTAATAATTATATAAAAAACTATATAAAACAGCAATAATAATATCTTGGATGGTTAAAATAAAAAGATACCATTAAAACTAAAAAAAAGAATAAACTAATAGAAGTGAAACCTAGGTGTTCCTAACTAAAAGTATTAGGTGTAGACTAGCTTATTTAGACAGGGTGAAAACATAATTTGGAAAGTAGAATTTTGTTTTGGGACAGTAGAATTTTATAGGAATTTTTAAAATCTCCACCAAAATAGTTGCCACTATATCAGTTCAGCTGGCCTAAGCTAATAAGGTTTTTGGGTTTTGTGGTTCAGAAAGAAAAGTACTTTTCACCTGTAATGTACCTGAGAGCAGGATTGGACACAGGACCTTTAGAGTGGTAGCTGCAAAGTTAAGAACAGCACAGCCTGAAGTTTCAAGGGTCCCTATGTCAGGTCTAGATTTGGGCTAGTAACTGGGCTACACAGTGGGCAAAACCCACCCAAATCCAGAAGTTGACTAATGAAAACATGTATGATTAGATGTGGGATTAGCTGAATTTAGAGCCAGGACAACTGAGAAACATTCACTCTAAACTCCTCCTTATAAAGAGTTTAGTTTCTTTTCATTGGTTTCTATACACAACAGCAACATATACAACATCTATATATTGACCCTTGAACAACATGGAAATTAGGGGTGCTGACCCCCCCAACCCCTTACAGTCAAAAATACACATAATAACTTTTGATTACGTCAAAACTTAACTACTAATAGCCTACCGTTGACCAGAAAGAAGCCTTACTAGTATCATAAACAGTGATTAACATAGATTTTGTGCTGTATGTATTATATACTGCATTCTTTTTTTTAAAGATTTTTTAAAAATTTGATTTATTTGTTAGAGAGGCAGGCAGAGGGAGAAGTAGGCTCCCCGCTGAGCAAGGAGCCCAATGCGGGACTCAATCCCAGGACTCTGGCATCATGACCTGAGCCAAAGGCAGATGCTTAACTGACTGAGCCACCCCGGCGTCCCTATATACTACATTCTTATAATAAATTATGCTAGAGAAAAGAAAATGTTATTAAGAAAATCAAAAGGAAGGAGGCACCTGTTATTATCACAATAACTGTACTCTTAATCCCCATCACCTACCTCCCCTCTGGTAACCACCATTTCGTTCTGTATATTTAAGAGTGTTTTTGTTTTGTTTTGTTTTTAAGATTTTATTTATTTATTTGACAGAGAGAGACACAGGGAGAGAGGGAACACAAGCAGGGGGAGTGGGAGAGGGAGAAGCAGGCTTCCCACCGAGCAGGGGTGGGGCTCAATCCCAGGACCCCGGGATCATGACCTGAGCCGAAGGCAGACGCTTAACGACTGAGCCACCCAGGCGACCCAAGAGTCTGTTTTTTCATCTCCATTTTTCTTTGTGTGTTTGTTTTGTTTCTTAAATTCCACATATGAATGAAATCATTGGTATTTGTCTTTCTCTAGCTGACATTTCACTTACCACATATAAGTGGCATACCCTCTACATTCCATGTTTTTGCAAATGGCAAGATTTCATTCTTTTTTTAATTTTTTTATGGCTGTGTAATGTGCCAGTACAGATATATTATATATATAAATATATTTTTTCTTTTTCAAATTTTTATTTAAATTCTAGTTAAGATATAGTGTAATATTGGTTTCAGGAGTACAATTTAGTAATTCATCACTTACATATAACACCCAGTGCTCATCACAAGTGCCCTCCTTAATGCCCATCACAC